AATTTCCTTCTCTATACCACCATGCTTTTCCGTTGATTCATCTGTTACCTCATCTCTGTGAAATTTTCACTACAGAATATTTCTACTACAGTAATACAACTTTCTTTAATCCGTCGTTTATTAGGTAATTTATTAATGAAAGATCTATTAGCCAAGCGTCTCACGAATACAAATATTAACAACAGATAATCCAAGAAACACAAGACACGCATCTCTTGGAACATACCCCTTTTAAAAAAATTTACATGCATAAAACTATTCATACAAAAATATACAAAAATTTTGGTCATGTCCTTAAATCAGAAAAACTAAAGGTATACTCGAGGGACATCTTAGTATCCCTTATATCATAGGGTATCCCAACCTTATATCACGAGAGTATCCCCCAACCTTATATTATGAGGGTATCTCCAACCTTATATCATGAGGATATCCCCAACCTTGTATCATGAGGTGTAACTTATCGTAATTTGACAAATATGTAATTCATATATAATAAGTTTTTCACTATAAATTTTTTATTGTCAAATTTTAAAAATCTTTTATTTTTTTATGTCAAATTTTAAAAATCTTTTATTTTTTATGTCAAATTTTAAAAATCTTTTATTTTTTATGTCTAATTTAAAAAATCTTTTATAAATACTTCAACTTTAATTTATCGAATAAAAAAAAAAAGGCTCAATCAATGCAATTCGCTCTCGATGCAATTAACATGGACACCGCTGTTCCTCCACCTTACATTCAAGAAGCTGAAAGACCTCAAGAGAGAGCTAATAATTTCCAGGTTAATCCTCAGATGAATGTCACTCCTCAGGTTATTCCTCAGATGAATGTCACTTCTCAGGTTATTCCTCAGATGAATGCCACTCCTCAGGTCGTCCCTCAGATGAATGCCACTCCTCAGGTTGATCATCAGGTGAATACCACTCCTCAGGTCGTCCCTCAGGTCGTCCCTCAGGCTAATCCTCAGACTAATACTCATGATACCTCTCAGACTAACGCTCCTGTCAACGTT